GCCAGTGGTACCTCTCGTTCCCACCAGGAAGATCTTTTCTGACCTTCAGGCGGCAGGCCAACCCGTCTATATCCGCAGCATTCGGCAGCCGACTCGAGTATTCCTGTCTTTAAGAGCTCTCACTCGGTTTCCAACGGTCATCCTAAGGGTCGGTTCGCATCGTCGCGGGTTGTTGTTTCCAAGTGTTGCCTTCATATCCGCTGAAGATGTTTCCCATTTGGTTCTCTGGTTTCTTTCACCATGAGATCGTCTCATGTTACTCCATTTCTTAACAGCGTTGCTTGCCGACCACAGGGTGATGACCATTTAACAGCTCTGCCTCTCTTAACGCCAGCATTCGTTACAGAGCGTCTTGACTCAGTCGATACGATTATCAAATCGATCATCGACTTCTGTGCAGAAACTTCCCGGTAGCAGGTCTCGTGAAGCACGCTTGAGTACTCGAAGAAAATGTTCATAATAAACAGTCAATCATTTGCTAAAAGGACCGCATCGATTTCACGTCATTATTGTTGAAGTCGCTAGGACCGTTCTTTCAAATCATGCCTTTCCACTTTTCGGTGCCTTTTGCGATATGCGCCTTAAAATTGTCCATTAGAGTGATGAATTCCATTGTCCCACTTCATGCAGAGCGCCGACTGCTTGATTCAGTAAGAACTGTTATTCTCCCTTGAATTTGACGCGTGAACTTGCAACAGTGTCAACGCATTTGCTTGTTTCAAATTCACTCGAAGGATTGTCACCATTCCGATGACAGGCTTCTATTAAGTGATTATGTCCGCCGGCATGGGTTCTTCTAAAACTGTTGGTTGTTGATTCGAGACCTGAATAGAATAGTTTCCATTCACTGAACTTTAAGAATGATGAGTATTACACGATGAAACATAGCCGGCGAAATTGCAAGAGTTCATAACCTCCTGGTGACGAAGCATATTTGTAGGATTCGAAGGCTGCTTTTAATGTCCGTTTATAATGTAAATGATGCTTTGAATGAGGCATCTGGATTTTGAATATTGCTCGGTAGAGAGCTTCATTAGCAGTTTAATAATTATTTTGATGCATTGATAGGTAGACAAAATCATGGCAAAAACCAGTGCTGAGCTCCTGTTTACCCGATTGAGATATAGAGTTACTGCGATTCAACGCACAAGGGAGAGTCAACGAGACTACTGTTGAATGATGATGATTTCTCTGATGTGCGTACTGATGATACTTCATCATGCAACAATTTCGAAACTCTCCGACGGCCTCATGAGAACACGAGTGTCAGTAGCAGAAAATTGATCGCTTCATCTCTTTCAGCATATTCCGGCTACTTAAAGCGTATTCCTCACACAAGTATGAAAAGTTTACACAGTACCATATAGGCAGCAACAATAATTATTTGCAAGGCATTGCGCATAGTTTAGGCTACAGTCCAAGTTGACTTTTAAAATCACCACCATATGCGTCTGTAATGATAATCAATTCCCGTACATTCCTTTCAGAATAACGTCTGAAGTAAACTTTTCAGCTTCTGTTTCTTACTCACATGTCTTAATCGCGATGTTTTTACCTATTTTATACCTATATATCATATACACTGTAAGCCGTACTGATAATTCTTCTTCATTTTCCATCATCGCTTTTCCTTTCGAGTCCAGAAGGCAGAAGCGTAAGACACCTTCCAACGTTCCCGATCCTGTGCCAGAGTCTGAGCTTCGGTAGAATACAAGTGGAGTCTGGAGAAGACACCTTCTATATATTCGCACCAGGTTAATCCTCGCCATCCACTGGGCCTTCTGCCGGTCGGATTCGGAAGAAACAGCTGCTTAGCCTTCCTTTCTGGAGGTATTGGCAACACATGCCCAAGCCATTGCAGCTGTAATTTCTCAATCTAGACAAGCAAAGGCTGTACACTAAGCTCCTCCGGGTGTCAGTATTCCGGACCTCGTCGACACGCGCAAGGCCAGCGACTCGTCTCAGAAAACCCATTTCAGCAGTTTGTACCCGGGTTCGAAGTTTTC